AATAGTAATTATTTCCAATTATCAAACTCCCACATCCGCAAAAAGTCAACAATGAAGATTCAGCATAGGCAAACAAATCCGTCGACGCCATAAAAAGTATGAACGCAGTGCGTAAGAAAGCTACAACGAGTAATCGGCAACGACTCTAAGACTGAAAGAGAAACCGTGAAAGTGGATAACTATAGCCCCTATAGCATGACACCTCAAAGCAAAGACGACTATGAGAACTTTACAGAGTAGTATTTTTCATTATCTAGATTTTCTTCTAATTCTGAAAAAAACCGTTTTTGAAAAAAGTTATGGGCTCGCAGTAGAACAGCGAAAGGTGTGCGAATCACAAACACACACCAGAGATTAATAAATTCCTGAAAACGCCATTGTCACATAAGAGCGGAAAATTTTAAGAGAGATACCTTATTAAGAAATTACGCATTGCATAAGTTGAATAAGGACGTGTGAAACTAGACTTAGATGACTACTGTCCACGTGCAGTAAAATTCCATCCGAGCTCGAAACGAACGGTAAGACAAAAAAAATAAGAAGGACGTGGTTTAGAAAGAACTAATCTAATCTAAACTCAAAGAAAGTTTTCTATGAAAAAGTTGAAAATAAGTTGAAAACCGCTTAACGTATCAGCTAAAAATCTACCAAAGTCTTAGGAGCGGTAGGGTCGAAGTGAGGTTAACAGACTGGATGAAATGATAAATGCTTCAAATGAAAGGCTTTGGAATAAATTCCGCAAAATCTAAACGACTAGAAGAAAATAAAAAGGCCTTTCAGCATTTTCAGACAAGGAAAAGTTATAAATACTAAGAAAGTGAAAATTGCAAGGAATCAAACCAGGAAATAGATTTAGCAAATAAAAACTATTGTAAATAATTCATAATTGACGTAAAAGGTCAATATGAATCAACATTCCCATGTGTCAAGTGCAGTGAACGGGTGTCGCTCGTGCAATTACTATGCCATAACATGGTACGAATGAAAAACAGCTGTTTGCTCGCACTACAACCACAATAATGACAGATGATTGCAAGCAAAGTGCTAAAAAGCACAAAAAAAGGAAGTAAAGAACTGGAAAGTGAGAAATAGAAAAAGGAATACTCACGGTAGCAGCCAAGGGCTCCATTTCAGCTGTAGAACAGATTTGGCTGATCATCGGATCATTCGGGGGTGTGCCGTATTCGACACATGCCATTAACCAGTAATGAATAGAACATGACAGATCGGGATAGAGGAATGCTTTAGCGACGAACTTCGCATGTGAGTCAATCAAATGTTGCCTGGAAAAAATTAGAGATAAGAGATATCTATAGAGTGAATCATAATGTTCTGAAAAAAGCAAAACTTAGTTGATCAGGATGAGCTAAAGTAAATATATGAGATATTCAAGAACAATTTATACTATTAATTCAACTGTCCAGCTTATCTCAAGTTCAGCGTTGAGAATTTTAATTTCAGTTCTCCGCCTAATAAAAATTCACTAATCAAAAAACTTGGAAATTCCAATTTCTGCAGATAAAGAAATTGAGAGTAGCCTTTACAGTTTATCTATAGCTCCTTATTATAATATGAGATATTAACTGACAAA